TGGCTGGTTCTTGCCCTTGCTTGGGGCTGCTGGGAGGCGGGGGTTGGGCTTGTTGCATGTCCCCGCCCCCTGGGCTCTTTACTGCCGGAGCGCCGCTCCTGTGCGCTCCTGCAGGAAATGACCCCTGCCCTCCACCCTCCGTAACCCCCTCCTCCCCCAAGGAGGCCTGTAGAAGCTGAATATTTTTTCTTTCCCTGCCATCTTGGATTGGGAAGGGCAGCCTGGTGGTGGTGGTGATGACGATGATGTAGTGTGTGTGCGCGCGCAAGCACGAATGTTAGTTAAAGGTAGTTAGTAACATCACATCTCCCGTGAGTGTCGGTTCAGTAAACCTGCCAGTGTACGTGACTGGCTTCTTCTTTAAAAAATTTTTTTTTTTGCTGAAGAATAAAATGTTGGCTTCTGTCCTTTCTCTCCACCCTCCCGAATCCTGAAAGGCCGAGGAAGCCGAACGCGAGGAGCGAAAGAAGGTGGAGCAGAAACGGGAGGAGGAGCGGCGAAAGGAGGAGGAGCGTCTGCGCCAGGAGGAGGAGCGGAAGGTGGGTGCATCGGCTCGTGGGGGGGGGGGAGGTTGGACTCGTCTGCTTTTAGAAACGTCCAGTGGGGCAGGGCAGTTCGTTACCAGGAGGGGATTATTGATGTTGCTTTAAACCCCGTCCTTCCTCCGAAGAACCCGAGGCAGCGTGCTTGCCCCTCACATGCCCACCTGTGCTTCTCTCCTCGCAACAGCCCTGCAAGGTAGGCCAGGCTGTGAGTTCGATACCGATCCAAGTTCACCCAGGACTGAACTTGAGCCTTCCTGGCCCGAGTCCGGTGCGGTAGTCAGTACTGTGCCCAAGGACTATGAAAACCACAGTCATAATATTTAGTATCTCTTTAGTGCAGGGGTGTCAAAGTAATTGTGCCATGAGGTCCCGATCTGACGTAAATGTCACTTTATCGGGCCGGGCCATGCGTGCCATAAAATGCAATGCTAGGTACCGGAGATATAAACTTTATAAAGGACACGGGGAAACCCGATTGAGCCATTGATTCCTAGCAGTGAAAGGTATTGAGGGGAGCCTACATAAGCCCGGCTCTCCCAGATCCCCCCACCCCTAGCTCTCATCCCTCCTGCGTTTCCCATAGAAGCAGCAGGGCTGAGGGGAAGGCCTGACAGCCTGTTCCCAAAACCTCCATGGGGTGCTTTTTGTCCTCCTGTGACCCCTTTTCCTTCACAGGCTAAGAACAGAACCCCACAAGGCTCCCTCTAAGCTGTGGAGTCTCGTGAGCAAAGAATTCTACTCTGGGAGCTACCGGCATCGCAGTTGTGAGCGAGCGATTTGGCTACAGCATAAATCAGTTTGCTCTGGGGCCATCTTTCCCGAGCTCAGGCAAAAACGTGTGAGCCGGAGGCTAAAAACACGTGCGCTAGCTCACACTAACTCAGCTTAGAGGGAACTCTGAGAACCAGTTGCTCGTGGGGCAGATGAGAGCCCCAGGTGGGCCAGTTCTGGCCCACGGGCCGGATGTTTGACACCCCTGGCATAGACCTTGACTAAGGAAGGCTGTCCTGACCTGGGCGGCCCAGGCTAGGCCAATCTCATCTGCTGTCGGAAGCTAAGAAGGGTGGTCCCTGGTGAGTACTCGGATGGGAGACCACCAAGGAAGCCCAGGGTTGCTGTGCAGAGGCAGGCAACTGCAAACAGCTTCTCTTGCCTTGAAAACCCTACCGGATTACCATAAGTCAGCTGTAACTTGATGGCAGTTTCCACCACCAGCAAGGAAGAATGGAGAATTTGGGCACTTGAACTGAGGAAATGCATACCAGCTGGCTCATGTCTTGCACGCATGCACACACACACAGTCAGGCCTGGAGCTACGGTGGGGCTTTGGGGGGCTCTGCCCCCTTTCTTAAAGGCACCCCACAAGAATTTCTCTCCTGAATGCTTTTTCAATCACGTTCAAACGTTTTTTTTTTAAAGGCGTGTGCTCCTTTAAGCAGAGTGGGGTGCCGTGGTTGACTAATTCCCGCATTGAGCAAGGGGGTTGGAGTAGGTGACCTCTAGGATACCCTCTAACTCTGGGTCAAGAAACTGATCTCCTTTGAGAGAGTTTTCCTGCCTCAGTGTCAGCTTTCTTGACTACAGAAGTCATCAGCCCACCCCCCACCTGCCAGCTTGTTATCAGAACGGTTGCTTAGGCTGGCAGAAGTGATTAACTTGCAGCAGCTGAGAACTGTTATCTCAAGTGGTTGATAGCTTGCAGTTTAGGGATCTATCCTGGTCACAGCTTTCTGTTGGCTACATGGCTTTTCTTTCTGCACGGAGAACTCCAGCCCCGCCAGAAAAAGATTTGCCCCCCAAGCAATGCTCCCTCTAAACTGTGGAGTCTTGTGAGCAAAAATTCTACTTTGTGAGCTACTGGCGCTAAAGTTGTGAGTGAGCCATTTGGCTACTGCATAGATTAGTTTGCTCTGGAGCCATCCTCCCTGAGCTAAGACAAAAATGTGTGAGCCGGGGGCTAAAAAAACTGTGAGCTAGCTCACACTAACTCAGCTTAGGGGGAACACTGCCCCCAAGCCACAAAATCCTGGTTACGGGCCTGCACTCAGTTACCCATACAAAGGTGCGACACATGCATCCGCAGGATGACCCTGTGCTGAGAAGTCCCCAGTTCTACCCCCACGTGGCCACAAACCTACCAGGTGGTCTCAGGCAAACCACTTGTGAAAGCACGTTGCAAAGTCGTTCTCGCTGTGGGCACAAGTTTTAAATTGTGTGGGCTGCAGCCCCAATTCAGGGAGTCTTTATTCCAGTCTCAGTCCAGAATGAGGCATGTGAGCATAGAGAAATGTAGAACAGGATCTGATATGCTTGGACTCTAGCATTCAGAGGAAACTCTATGGTTAGCAGTTTCGAAAGCAACCTAATTGCAAGTAGATAAATGGGTACCCACCCTTAGAGGGGTGGGGGGCACCCTGTGTGGCTGGTTGAAAGGCGGCGGCGACGATGGCGGCAGCGGCGAGCATCGACTCGGTGTGGACGGCGTGGCGGCATGGCGTTGCGGCGGCGGGCGGGCGCGATCGGAGGAGCGCGATCAAGCGATCCCTGGTGGCCGAGAGAGAGTACACCGAATGCTGTCGTTAAGAGAAGGGGCGTGCGTGGATGCCAAGCACCGGCTCAGCGGAGCCGGAAGGGACGTTGCTGGGCCGGAAGCAGGCGGAGCCGCGCGCCTCAGGAGGAAGATAGCCACCACCGAACGCCGGGAAAAAAGAACACCCCGCCAGTCCAGAGACCCGAGCCGAGCCGAGCCGATGAAGAAACAACAACAACCACCACCATAGGGGGGGTGCCGGTAGGTTGTCCCATCCCCGAATACACTGTGGCCCTAGTTAGGGGAAAAATGGTGATTAGCACCAAAAAAACCTGTAAGCCGCTCAGAGACCCCTAGCCAAGGGATTCGAGCAGGATATAAATATAAATAAATAAATATATTTTCATATATTTTTGGCCTGGGAATTTTTGAATGCACACCCCAGTGGTCAGTTTCTAGTGCTGAAAGTAAAGTTTGCTCTATAACTATCTGGAAAAACTATAAAGAATGACAGACTCTCCCATTTATAAGTCCACAGACTTCCCTTTCTTTGTATCTCTGTGTGCTTTCAGTGTCTGCCCATGAACCTATTTATTTATTTATTAAAACATTTATACCCCACCCTTTTCTTGTTGTTCAAAGTGCCTTACAGTAGTAACCTAGTTAATCTTGTGATTAGTTCTTGCAATCACTTTGCAATAGATGCTACTAAACGTGTAGGTGAAGGAAACTAACATATGGTTGGTTAAAGGATTAATCTGACTGTGCAGGCCCAAAGGAGCAACAAGAAGTAGTCACTTTAATGATCCAACAACGAGCCTGGGAGAAAAGTGTCTCTTCTCTGGAAATCATGAAGATTTAGCTTGTAGATAGTGAAATCATAAAAGTAGCCACAATGCATATTTGTCACATCACCAAAGACACAACCTGGCTGTGTAGCTCAAATGACTACTGCAGAGAAACAAAATGTCTTAGCCTGGTGCTTGAGAAAAACATCAAAGATATCTGATCTGGAGCTTACTTTGAGTGAGTGAAGTAATTTGATCATTCTAAATTTGCCTGGAATTTGAGTTTATGTAGAAATTATCGCTATTCCTACTCTTTGGGTCTCTATGGCCCCGGTCACACGAATGGGATAAGCTGCAGGGGACAGGAGGCTTTTTGAGCTGGAGCAAAAAGACGCGTGGTAGCGCGATCTCACCTTCCCCCGAGGCTCCGTGCCCAAGCTTCTGGCAGCTGATCACACCACGCTAAGCAACACAGCAGCAAGGCGTTTGTGTGCATGCGTGGGACGCCGACGAGTGCTGGCTGCGACAGGCTACCACCGCTTCCTGATCGGACAGGAGACCACCAAGGGAGTCCAGGGTCAATACACAGAGGCAGGCAAAGGCAAACCACCTCTGCCTAACCCAGGCTAACCCTGTCTCTTCAGATTTTGGACTCTAAATAGGGTGGGCCCTGATTGGTACTTGGATGGGAGCCCACCAAGGAAGGCCAGGGTCGCTCCGCAGAGGCAGGCAATGGCGAAACCACCTCTGTCCATCTGGTGCCTTGAAAAACCCCACGAGGGGTTGCTGTATTGCTCCTTCTAAGCTGTGGAGTCCTGTGAGCACAAATTCTACTTTGTGAGCTGCCGGCATTGAAGTGGTGAGCGAACGATTTGGCTGCTGCGTCAGTTAGGTTGCTCCGGAGGCCCTCCCTTCCTGAGTGGAGACAAAAACGTGTGAGCCGGAGGCTAAAAAACTGTGAGCTGGCTCACACTCACTCAGCTTAGAGGGAACAAGCCTGCAAGTCAACTACTGCCATTACTCTAAGAGTAATCGTTTCCCAAAGGTGTCGGCCGCCAGAACTCTGCCTATATACACGTCAGCCACCAGCCTCTTCTGCAAAAAAAATTTCCTTGTCCCCTACCCTAACAAAAGTGACTTAAAATAGTTTTTTTGAGACATAAATGTCTTGTACTTATGGGTAAGGTTCTTATTGTACTGTCGTGAGCATAAGTGTTGACTTTCCTTGGAAGGAAGGAGCGTGGCTGATACTCTCTCACACACCCAAACTTCGAAGTGTCTCTTCCGCGAATGGGATTTGAAACCTGAAAGCACTTTTTTTTTTTGAAAGGGCTGGTTTCCTCCAAAAAGCCCCGGCGGCCTGATAGACGTCCGCACCCTGCCACTGCTCTCTGCCGCAGCAGTACGCGGACCTGGGAATTTCCCTTCTGCCCCTGGAGTTTTTTCAGGGGAGGAAATGGTTTACCACGGACACCTTATCAGCAAGAGCAAGCGTTTCATGTTGCAGGGCTGCCATCGTCTTACCGGCAGCCTGTGAGGCTTCGCTCTTTTTTTAAAAAGTCTGCCTTTTCTTTGCTGGGCCTTTCTCCACTTTGCAAAGGTTCTCCGTGACCAGCAAAGCTCGATTTGAAATGGATGCGTTTTTAATATCCCAGGATTTTTAAAAACTGTTCTTC